ACAGGCAGGCACAGGCAGGCACAGGCAGGCACAGGCAGGCACAGGCAAGCACAGGCAGGCACAGGTAGTCACAGGCAGTCACAGGCAGGAACAGGCAGGCACAGGTAGTCATAGACAGGCATAGGCAGTCACAGGCAGCTTTTCACATGGGTGCAAAGGATTAGACTTACTGCAGCTCCTCATGTTTGCACAGCAAGCTCTCTTACCTGATGAGTGTCTTTCCATCTGTGGTGATTTGAATGAGAGTGGCCGTCACAGCCATATCTGAATACCTGGTTTCCAGTTGGTGGAACTGTTTGGGAAGGATTAAGATGCCCTATTGGAGAAGATGTGTCCCTGGAGGTAGGCTTTGCGGTTTTCAAAGCTGATGCCATTCTGAATTACCCCTCTCAGCTTCATGCTTATGGATGAGCTCCCAGTCTCTGCCTCAGCACCATGCCTGCCTGCCTGCTGCCTGCCTGCCTGCCTGCCGCCTGCCTGCTGCCGTGCTCCCTGCTATGATGGCTGTACTGGCTAGTCTTGTGTCAACTTGACACATAAACTAGAGTTATCTGAAAGGAGGGAACCTCTGAGAAAATGTCTCCATAAGATCTGGCTGAAAGGTATTTTTTTTAATTAGTGATTGATGGAGGAGGGCCCAGCCCATTGTAGGTGGTTCCATCTCTGGGCTGGTGATCCTGGGTTCTATAAGAAAGCATGCCAGGTAAACCATGGGGAGCAAGCCAGTAAGCAGCACCCCTCCATGTCCTCAGCATCAGTTTCTACCTCTAGAATCCTGTTCCATTTGAGTTCCTGCCCTGACTTCCTATAATGATGAACAGTGATGTGGAAGTGTAAGCCTTACACTTCCCCATCAAAGAAAAAACCCTTTCTTCCCCAACTGTTTTTTTTTTTTTTTTTTTTTTGGTTATGGTGTTTTGCCACAGCAATAGAAACCCTATGAGGATAGTCATGGACTAACTTCTGAAAAACAAGCCTCAGGAAGTGCTTTTTCTGTAAGTTGTGTTGCCACTGTGGTAGAAAAGTAACTAAGACACTGGCACTATGACCCAGGTTTTCAGTATAAGTCTAGGCCTGGCTACTTGCCTCCTGAATCCCAATTAAAGTACACTAAAGAGCCAAGATATGTAGTCGGTGGGGCTACACTCAGAAGAGGAACAAGTGAAAGGCTCTAATGACTTCCAAGACCATATTTGGGGGTACTGATGGGAGGTTTAGGTTAAAATAAAAGACAACGACTGAGCATAAGTAAGCATCCAACTCAAGGAATTGCCCCACCTATCACTGACCTGTCATTGGTTGCTTCTCTCTGGTTCCTGTTGCCAGGTGCCCTGATAGCCTGTCTAGAATGGTGTGAAGTCTTTTCCTGTCAGACAAGTTCCTCTTCAGGCTGACAGGAACACTTTGGTCATTTCTTTATTTGAATTCTTTGGAGGCCATTGTTTCAATCATCCGATAGACAAAGGGAGAGCCATGTGTGTCTCTTTCCAGTATCTCCTTTCCTACCAGGATGGGTACAGGGCCATTAAGAAACAACTGTGTTGGAAGACTCTGCTCCTGAGTAGGTTGTTGCTGTTATTTCAAAAGCCAGTCCACTGATAGTGCTATTTCAAAAGCCAGTCCATCATAATAGGGCAGGCTCATGTCTTCAACAGAAGTTCCTTAATCTTGGGCCTTCTGGTTCCCAGAGCCTTGAGCCAATCTGTCTCTTCTCATAAATGGCAGTGTGGGGTAGGTATTCTAACTGCATCCCGCCTTCTCGTCAGCTGATCTCAGCTCCCATCACTTCTTGTGTATCCCTGTGAGGTTGACTTCTGAACAGGACTGTGTGTCCTGGGAAGGTTTTTTCCCTTTTCTCAATTAATTCTTCCTAGAGTATCCTAAGAATTTTCTTCTGAAACAGAATAACGAAAACAGGTTCTTTGTTGGGAGAATCTGAGTCATCTGTCTCCTAGAACTCCTCACACTTCATAGGACCACGGGGTCCCGTCTGAGCCAAATCACAGAAGAGAAATGAAAATGCCGACTGAGCAATGGCAGCGTCGCCATCTTTCCACTGCCTGAGACCTTTACTCCCTTGCAGTGAAGACAACGAGGGTTCTGGGAATTTTTTTTTCAAAGGTTAGATCTTAGATTTTTTTTCCCAAAAGCTTACTAACTTGGCCCTTTCCCTTCCTAGTTTTAAAATTCAGCATCTCTATTCCTGCAGTCATTAAAAAAAAAAGTCCATGGAGATACATATTATGTGTTACTTATTAAAAATTTAGACTCAGGTTGAAGTCTGACAAAAATGGATTCTGTTCTTTTTTAAACCTTTTTTTTTTTTCGGTCATGGTAATATATTTAGTAGGTATTTTTATTTTCTTATCTATGTCTGCAATGGGAATCAATGATGAATGAAGGAAGCTTGCTTTTAATCCTGTTGTTTACAACAGTACCCCTGAGTGTAAACGGGCTTAGGCCAGCAGAATTCACCCAAATGGCTTCTATTTGGGAGTCAGCATTGGACCAAAATAGAAAAATCCCACAAGTGAGTTCCATTCATGTTTGTGGACATGTACAAGCTATTTCTGCTACAAGGCTCAAAATGAAGCCACTTGCAAGCTGAAAGCTTGTGCTTTATAAAGTGTTTCTGGAAATAGGGCCTAAAATTGGAAAGTTTCTCTAAAAAAATAAAAACTAGTCACTGTACCTATTTTAAAATGGTACTAATCCTAAGTAGCCACACTGAGCTAATTTTATTTCTAAAAGTACCAGTAGAGTAAATAAAATCAGAATTTAAAAAAACCTCTAGAAACTACTTAAATGTGTATTATTTATTCAGTCATTCATCCTTTTGTTCGCTATTCTTCATCAAGAATTTATTGAACGTTAGGGAATAGACAGGAGGTTTAGAAGCTAAGAGCGCTTGCTGTTCTTGCAGAGGATCCGGCTTTGGTTCCCAGCATCCGCTTGGTGGCTCGCAAACATCTGTAACTGCAGTTCCAGGGCATCCGGTGCCCACTTCTGAGATGTGAGGGCACCAGGCCCACATGTACACAGACATACATGGAGGCAAAACACTCACACATATAAAATAAATAAATCTAAAAATAATTTAAAGGCATTTATTGAATTTTGAAGAACTACCTTACATCATGCAAGGGGTTGGGTGAGGTGCAGTAGGTGAGCACAGATAATCGGGCATGTTTTCTTTTACTGGGGTGGGGAGAGGTTGCTGACTAAGAAAAAAGTTATAGGCTGCACACAGTTACAAAGCAGCAGACGCTCGGCGCTGAGTGGGAAGTGGAACAAGAAAGCCGTGTAGGACCAAGCATCGGGATCACCTGAGGCTTTTACATACGTGCAATTGCCTTTCTTGTCAAGGTGGCGCATGAAACACGTCAGGGGTGGGATATCATGGGCCCCTCTTTGCTCCATGCTTGGATGACTTGCTTCTGAGCAGGTCCTGTGCATGCAGGCACAGCTGCTGTGAGTTCATGTGTGTTAGGGCCGTCATCCCTGCAGACACGATTTCACTGCAGATGCTGGCTCTTAACAATCTTCACTCCTCCTCGTCTGCAGTGATCCATGTGCTGTGCTGTGCTGTGCTGTTCTCCCTCCTTCTCCTCCCCACCCCGTGTGTGTGTGTGTGTGTGTCCATTTAGAGCAGGATGCTCCAGTTTCTTATTCTTTACATGTTGACCAGCTGTGGGTCTCTGTTTTAATCACCACCTACTCTAGAAAGATGGCCTGGGTCTGGATTTCAGCATTCCTGTAAAGAGCCAGGTATGGCATCTTGCACCTATAACTTCAGTGCCAGATATGCCAGAAGAAGAAGAGAGGGAGGGGGAAGAGAATGGGGAGGGTGATGAGGAGGAGGAGAAGGAAGAAGAGAAAGAGAAGGAGGAGGAGGAAGAGGAGGAGGAAGAAGAGGAGGAGAAGGAGGAGGAGGCTCCTCCATGTGAACAGAGCCAGAAATACAAGTCAGACAGCATTAGTATGGTACTGGCCAGCTGAAGCCTTCATAGGGACACAGATGTTTCCACTTGTCTTGCATTCCCTACATTTAGGTAGGACCGTGCATAGAATTCTGCCCAATAGAATGCAAAATTCATTTTGGGGCCAAGGCAGGTAGTCAATAATGAATCTTCTTGACAATCTCTATTTTCTTTTCTGGACATATGGAGAAAGCCCATGTAGAGCTGGGACCATCCCAAGATTGTCAGTCATAGCAGGGAAGAACCTTTCTTCTGGCATACATTAGATAATCAGACTTTTGTCGGCTACTTAACTTTGTCATCAGGAATTTCTTAATCTACTCATACTAAAACATGCTCCTAAAGAAGGACACAAAAAATAAGTGAAGAAGCTGAAGGGGAGGGTGACCCCAAAAGAAACCAGCAGTCTCAACTAACCCAGACCCCAGGGAGCTCCCAGAGATTGAGTTGCCAACCAGGAGCATACATGGGCTGGACTGAGGCCCCTGACACATATATAGTAGAGGGCTACCTGGTCTGGTTGCAGTGGGAGAAGATGCACTTAATCCTCTAGAGACTTTAGGCCCCAGGGAAGGGAGAGGGCTGGTAGTGGGGGGAAGCACCCTCTCGGAGGCAAGGGGAGGAGTGGGATGAGGTACTGTGGAAGGTGGGACTGGAAGGGGACAACGACTAGAATATAAATAAAATAATTTTTTTAAAAAGGACACAAAAGTAAAATCAGATCAAGAGTTAACAAAGTAAAATAAAGAACAAGTATAAAGTCAAGGTAAAGAAGACCCTCTCTAATTGGGAAATTTCTTCTAGAGAAGAAAGAAATGCAGGTGGTCTGAAGGAAAGGAGAACGCAGGAGCAAAGGCTTGAGGACAGGCCAGTTTGAGAAAGACAGGTTGGTCCAGTTCTTTTAACCCAGGTGACTCAACACAAACACCCATCAGACAGGTGTTGATGTGGACAGAGTTGACTCACTTTGTACCCGCAGCCAACCTATGTAACACATAAATCTGAAACTCGAGAATTCAGTGAGGAGAGAGAGAGAGAGAGAGAGAGAGAGAGAGAGAGGATAGCTGATAGATGATAGATGGTAGGTAGATTATAGATAGATAGATGATAGATAGAAGGATAGATAGATAGACAGATGACAGGTAGATAGATGATAGATAGATGATGGTAGGTTAGATAGATAGATGATAGATAGGTGACTGAGGCTGTGGAAGGCAGGAGTGGAGGGAAGGGATGCTGATAATGAATGGAACACACTTAATAGAGGAAATGCTATTGACTGGTTACATTCTGTGAGTTTTCCTAAGGGTTGACAGCTCTCTATGTACACATGTAGAAGTTTGAAACATTGAAGGCCTCCAAGTCATTGGCAATAGAGAACAGTTATGGGAGAAGTACTTTTGTTGAGCCAAGTGGAGCACAATGCAGGACGGGGAATATTTTCCCTAAAGGAACTGACAGTCAGTCTCACTGGGCACTAGACAACAGAACTCAGGAGGCGCAAAGGCAAGCCACCTGACTGATACTGAAGACTGTTTTGCGTAGGGAGTGTGTGTGTATGTATTTGTTTAGAATTCAAGGGTGCAGTTTCCCTGACATGTCTAGAAGGAGCAATTTGCATCAGGTGTCTGTCCTGACCTTCTGGCTCTTACAGTCTTTTCTTGTCTTCAACAGTGTTCTCTGTGCCTTGGGTATAGGGGCTGTGTTGTAGGTGTATCAATTAGGGTAGGGTTTTGGGTTTTTTTTTTTTTCTCATTTACTTGACAGCTTTGCCAAAGTCAAAGATCAAAATCAGAGTCAAACTGACCATATAAAAGTGTTTTGTTTGGAGGATTTTTTAAGATAATAAAATAAACTATAGGAAGATGTTTTAAGATCAAATAGTAAGATAAAAAATATGCTAACGTGGATGAGAGACATTTCATAAGGCCTCACCCCTAGGTGCGGAGTTACAGGAGATCAATGGCTGCTAAGGAGAATGGGTTTTCTTCAAGCATAAACCCCCCTCTTAGGTTATCTCATCTGAAGTGGTCAAACTAACCCCATGACATCAGAATTGGACAAAACAAACAGAAAAGAAGGAAAGGAGCCCAAGAGAAACAGAGACCCACTCGTTCACACCCTCAGAAAGCCAATAGAAACATGAACCTGGAAGTCATAGTATATACACACATAGGGCCTGGTGTAGACGGATCCTGTATGTGCTGTTTGAGATCAAATGTGCTTTGATCACATAGATTTATAGAGGCCTTGTTTCCTTGGTGTCCCCCATCCCCTCTGGCTCTTACACTCTTCCTGCTGCTTCTTTTGCTGGGTTCCCTGAGCCCCAAGGGGAGGGATTTTCTAGGGACATCATGTTTAGGGATGAGTGCTTAAAGGTCTCTCACTCTGAATAATGTCTGGCTGTGGGTGTCTGTACACTTGGATTCATCTACATGCAGACATCACATTTGACCAGCACTATTTTTTGAAGATGTTTTCTTTTTTCCCCAGTATGTATTTCTGGCTCCATTTTGTAAAAAACAAAAACAAACAAACAAACAGAAAACCAGGTCTCCATAGATATGTAGATTTATGACTGGATTTTGAATTTGATGCCATTGATTTGATAAATTCCACTGATGAGTGCCAATACTGTTCTGTTTCAATTACGATAGGTCTGTAGTACAACTTGAAATTGGGATAGTGATACCTCTCATAATTCTTTTATTATTCATCATTATTTTTAGCTATCCTAGTTTTTGTGTGTGTATTTCCACCAAAAAAAAACCAAAAGCTGAAAGTTTTTCTTTCAAGATCTGTGAAAAACTGTCTCAGAATTTTAGGTGGGGATTGCATTGAATCTATAGATTGCTTTTAGCAGGATGGCCATTTTTTTTCTATCTTAATTCTGTTGATCCATGAATTTGGGAGATCTTTCCATCTTCCTATATCTTCTAGAATTTCTTTCTTCAATGTCTTTTTTCATTTTCTTTTTTTTACTACATTTTTTAGTTATTTAGAACAATTTTTAAGTTTAAATATATTCTGATCATATTTCCCCTCCCCCAAGTTCTTCCAGATTCACTTTCCCTCCCTGTCTACCCAACTTTAAGTTCTTTCTCAAAAAACAAACATAAAATCCAATACAAAACAGAATCCCCCAAAACCAAAAAACCAAATTACTCCCCCCAAATAACTCCCACAAAACTGTCACTAAATATACAGACACAAGGAAAATGTGGAGTCCATTGTATATAACTTCCCTTGAACATGAGGCCTGTCCTGGAGTGGTTTATATTACACAAGTCTTTCAGTTGCTTGATTAGAGTTGCCCCAAGATATTTTGTACTATCTGAGGCTATTGTGAAAGGTGTTTCACTGATTTCTTTCTGGGTCCATTTGTCATTTGTATGTAGGAAAGCTGTTGATGTTTGTGAGTTAGTTTTGTATCCAGCCACTCTGCTAAGAGTGTTTATCAGCTGTAGGTGTTTCCTGGTGGTATTTTAGGTTCAATTATGTGTCCTATCACATCACCTGCAAAGAACAATACTTGGCTTCTCCTTTTCTGATTTGTCTTGGTTTGATCTCTTTCAGCTGTCTTATTTTTCTATCTAGGACTCTTATTCAATAGGTATGAAGGGAGTGGGCAGCCTTGTTTTGTTCTTGAGTCTAGTGGAATTGCTTTGAGTTTCTTTCCATTTAAGTTGCTATGAACTGCCTTTATTTTGTTGATACATTATGTCCCTCATATCCCTAATCTTTCCAAGACTTTTATCATGAAGGGATGTTAGACTTTGTCAACTGCCTTCGTCACATCTAATGAGATGATCCTGTAGATTTTTGTCTTTCAGTTTGTTTATATGGTGGATTACATTTATCAATTATGTATGTTGAACTACCTCTGCATCTCTGGGATGAAGCCTGATCTTACTTTAATGTTCAAGTAGTTATTCCTGTGGCAGCAAATGAAGCTCCTCTTATGTTTGCTTCTCTGTTTTTCCGCTCTACTCTTGGAGGGAAGTCATGGAGAGACAAAAGCCAGTTGTAGACAGGGGACAGTGTCCACCATGTCTTCATTGTTTGTGGTATATATGAGAAGCCATTGCCTCAAGCAAGGTTTTCTTGCTAAGCCTTGGTCATTGTTAAATCTTTGGTGGTTTATTCTGAGCAGTAGCTTCTGGGAGGGTTTATCATTCCAGAAACATGACACCCAATTAAACATGTGAATTCAGGAAGGAGGGTGGGCAGTGGTAGTTAAAAGGGTTCTGTCAGCACTCTACAAATTAAATAATTGTTGTGTGATCCCTCCCCGTCCCCCATCACCCAAAGAAGAACGAACAAATGTGTTCACAGCAGCCAGGGCACTGATGACAGACATAATAAATAATTTCATCCAAGTCTAAGTGACCAGCCAGCTGACTGGACTTACTTCGGGGGAGTTTGGGTCAGGGGTTACAG